TTTAAAAAAACCTGCAAAGTTCCACTATTTCTGATTTTTGGCACACTTACAATTTTGAAGAACTGCGAGAAATCCGCAACAACTCCTCATCTTCATAACATAAATTTAGAAGTTTCAATCTTAGCCTACCATCATGCAAGAAGAGTTTAGCCGGCGCTACAACTTGCGTAACATTCCCACTCTTATAGCTTTGTAAATTTTGTTCCTTAAGATATTTAGTGTTGAAAATGATTGCCAGTTTTTCTTTCACATAGTACTCCTCAGCACCTACTATTTTGTGCGTCTAAACTTATAACTCACTAGCTTTGAAGTTGTCCGTTCTTCATTGTCATTACGTACTGATTCTCTTAGGCGCTGAATCATGCCGTACCATAGCTCTCCGCAAATTGATATTCTTTGAAATATTCAAGAATTAGTATAATTCATGTAAACTTGCAATTTTTCATGATCAGCATTATAAATTGAAATGCATTTTAGTGCTATTGCGCAGTAGTTTAGTCTTTTATTTGCAAACCATGAAATATCCAAGATCGTCCGTGCAAAAAAAGAAAATGTTCCAAAAAGTTGTCTATATCAGTACTACTTTCTACACACAACCGGACTGTCCAAATTTGCTAACATATTTCCCGAAGTAATGCGTGTGGTCGTCGTAACTTGTTGGAAATAGAAGCCCATTGCTACATTTCTTTTCCTCGTTACCTGAAATAATGTTATTTGCACAAAAACTGGGAATGCGCTGATCAAAACAGTTGTAACCTTCACAAATGGTAAAGTGATCAGGCAACATCTCGCTTGTGTAGTGGACCTAAAAAGGGATAAAGAAGGTACAAAATATGTCTTAAAATACTACTTCAGCAAACAAGTACCTCTCGCCTATGATGGTTGTACCCAACATTGGGAAGATGTGGGACGATGTCGCGCCAGTGAACAACTCGGTAAGAGTACCCTAGCTAAAACTTTTTGCATTCAAAAGTTTTTTTTTCGGGAGGCATTAATTTCCCCACCTGTGCATTGTGGCTAATTGCGTATGAATAATCGCCAGTCCTTGGCTGACCAAATGTCACCACTTTCATCTTAGTCCACTTTACCATACCAGATGCAACAATGTAGGAAGCTGCTAGGGACGCCAATGAACCACCAAGCGAATGCCCCGTGACCTATAAACTCTCCCGCTCTGCAATATTTCATACAG